TTCACAAAAGAGAATGACAACGTGGACAGCTTCCTTCTAGGCACAGACTTGGCCCCTGAAGAATGGAACACCTCATTCCCAACATCCTGGAATGCCACCAGGTTGTAAGCTGGCCTCTCTCAGAACAGCAACAATGCTCAGAAATGCATCCCCTCCACCCAACATCCAGGACACAGTTCTCTGAGGCACAGATAAAGCCTGTGGTCTCCCACTCCAATCTGCTCTTCTCATCCCAAGCTGGTTGTCAGTGGAAAACATCCCTCCAAATTTAAGATCTTACCCTTGGGTTCCCCTAAAAAACATCATGAGAATCAGCATGGATACAACATGAGAACCAGCAAATGCATCACCTGGTTAAACGCCACCCAGAGACAACTGTACATTACATGAAAGGAAGCGCATGTTTCAGTGCAAAACTAGCCATCTCTGCAACAAATGCTCTCTCCTCTCTTCCTTCCTTCTTCCCTCCTTCTCTCTCTCTTCCTTCCTCCCTCTCTCTCTTCCTCCCTGTATCTCTCTTCCTCCGCCCTCTTCTGTTTTCTCTCTCTCTCTCCTTCCCTCTTTCTCTCTCTCTCAAACACATACACTCACAGCTCTGCACACACAAACAAAAGCTATGAAGTCGGACTATTTTCTTTTCCATTTTACCAATGACAAAGTGAACCAAGAGAAGTCTTATAAATTTTCTGAGATCTCAGAGTAAATGGGTTATGATAATAACCCCAGTCCACGAGACTCTAAAATCCTGAATCTTTCTAATGTATCATGTAACATATAACAAGAATTTGTACAGCTCCTTTGAAGAAGAACACTTTAGTATGATATTAGTCCATTTCTCAGAGCATAGAGCATTGAATACTGAATTCACCAGGTACAGGGCTTCCAAAGAAGAGTCTAGGCTAGGTTTGAGCCATTCTGTTCAGGGCCCTTGGTATTCTCCTCCAGCAGAAAGATAAGAACTTGTCTTCCCCGGTCTTCCAGGTTGAGCTCACAATTCCCTGTGAGCAAATGCATGGGAATACATACACCCACAGCTTCCCAATATATACTCACACTTGACACTCAAAATTACCTATTGGAATGGGTATTCATTTTGCATACCAGGAAACAAAGGCTTAGTGGAACTGAAGGGGCATGCTCAACTGTCTTAAACTAGGATTAATAGCTCAGCCTCTAACCCCTAGTTGTTCTCTCCCTTGGACTACAGTGGCAGTGCCGATTCAGAAATTGTAATTTTGAGTTTCATGCACATGAGTCAATATTTCCTACTTGATATTAACTCATTCATCATTCTCTTTACAGGAGCCTTTGCCACGGGTTATAGGTAGCTCTCCTATCTCCCTCCTCCTTCTCCAGCCCTCCCTTTTGAAGCCATCAATTTATTTCCCATCATTATCGCTTTGGTTTTCAGCTTTCCCTAAATGATAGAACACCTTGTATCCCAAAGAGAAATGCCACTACTCTGCAAAGCCAGCCTTTGAGTCTCTTTTTAAAGAGAGTTCCTACAGTGTGGCAGATCTTAATGACCTCCATCTCTCATGCCTGCATTAGGTCACCTGAGCCATGCTGCTCAAAATGATCTAACCGCCTCATAATGTCGGCTGAGGCAGGCTCAGACTCACTGTGGGGTGCCCAGCCTAATTCATTATACCACTCATAGCCATAAATCACAGGATTCTCCCACCTTTTCTCCCTTCCCTCCTACCAAAAGGAGAGCTCACATGAAATCTATTTACATGGAAAGATTATTCAACTAATTTTTTTCATTACACTTGCCAGAAAGCATTGCCAGGATTTCTAAAGCTGTCATGTGTGTTTGCATTAATGATGACAGTGGTTCATGATACTTAATTTAGCAACTGTGGCCATTTGGAGGTCATGCCCTGCCACACACAGACTAGATACTGTGGAGGGGTGGCTGCCTGGTCAGGAACACATGGGTGCCTAACATGTGTTTAGGAAAGTCACAGAGGGATTAACATCTCTGCAAGCTATCCCCACTGCTCCATCCCCACTGTGGTTGCCTTAACACAAGCTTGGACCCATGTCCTTTCTAGCTCAGTTGATCATAACAGCCCCCTAATTCCCTTCTCTGTCTGTTTGATCCCTTCCAACCCAAGTGGAAAGCTGAAGGAGGAGAATCTCTTGAGCCCAGGAGTTCAAGGCTGCAGTGAGCTACAATCATACCACTGCACTCCAGCCTGGAGGATGGAGTAAGATCCTATCTCAAATAAATAAAGTGTACATCTGACTTTGTTGCTCCCTTGCCTCATACAAATCAGTGGTACCCAGTGGCCCAGGGAATAGAATCCAAGCTGCTGGCTTGCCTTGCATGCAGTATCCTTTGTGATCCATCCCTGACCCCACTGGCCTCAGTTCTCACTACCTACTCTCCCAAGATGAGATCCATATTTCAACTCAACACCAGTAAACCACTACAACTTCTCAGACATACAAGCCCTCTCTGGGGCCAACACTATTCCCACTGCCTTAAAATTTCCTTTACCTTCTTGACCACTTGGAAAATGTGCTCCCATTGTTCAATACCCAGCTCAAATATCACTTCTTTGGAGATGATTGCTTACACTTCCAGAGAAGGTACTAGCAATCCTTCTTTGTGGCTTCCAAAGCAGATTGTACATGCTTCAATCCAGCTCTTACCCCATATTCCAATTACTTGCTTTCGTATGAATTAGTTAAAGTGAGAGCTCTGGTCATTCTTCTTCTTTTTGTTTTTTTTTTTCAGTAGAGACAGGGTCTTACTCTGTTGCCCCAGCTGGAATGCAATAGTGTGATCATAGCCTACTGCAGCCTGGATTTCCTGGGCTCAAGGGATCCTTCCACTCTCAGCCTGCTAAGCAGCTGGGACTACAACCATGCCCAGTTAATTCCAAAAAAAATTTTTTTAGAGACAGGGTCTCACTGTGTTATCCAGTTTAGTCTCAAGTCCCAGCCTCAATGATCCTCCCACCTTGGCCTCCCAAAGCACTGGGATTACAGGCATGTGCCACCATGCTCAGCCACTGGTCATTCTTTCTGGTACTCCTAATATGGGGGCATTTAAATGGAAACTTTTAAAAAATATATAGATTATTTAAAATCCACTGAGACCTATGGAGAAGCCCAGGAATTGCTATTTCTAAGTTTCCAAAGCTGTATTCTTTGGCTGCCAGCCTGGCAAAATCCATGAACTTTCAATTTGGGAACAACCAACCTAGCATGTGGCCTGCCTCAGCCCAGATGTTGGATGATTGCTTCCTGAATGAATGGAAGAAAGTGCATCTGTTGAGCAGGTGGGATCACAGAGGATGGTTATGCTGATGAAGGCAAGGGAAGTAGCTGCCCTTTCCTTCCTCTGACCATTATAGGCCAACACAGATCTAAGACAGATCCTAGTTCTACAAACCCATTTAAAAAGAAATGGATGATTGATGGGCATTTCAGGTGGATAAAGAGACTGCGAGATAATTTTATATATATATATATATAAATCATTAATTCATTCCTTTTTATGGCTGAGTAGTGTTCCATCATATATATGTATGTATATGATGGAATATATATTTATATATGATGGAATACTGCTCAGCCATAAAAATAAATAAATCAATTAATGGCATTTGCAACAAACTGGATGGGACTGGAGACTATCATTCTAAGTGAAGTAACTCAGGAACAGAAAACCAAGCATCGTATGTTCTCATTCATAAGTGGGAGCTAAGCTATGAGGACGTGAAGGCAGAAGAATAACACAACAGACTCTGGGGACTCGGGGGGGAAGAGTGGGAAGGGGTGAGGGATATAAGACCACAAATTGGGTGTAGCGTATCCTTGGGTGATGGGTGCACCAAAATCTCACAAACCATCACTGAAAAACTTACTCATGTAACCAAACACCATCTGTTCCCCAATAACCAATGAAAATTTGAAGAAAATTTTTTTAAATGGATGAGACCCAAATTTGGGTCTCACGTAAATGCACTTTACTTCTAGGCTCCAAACACAGTGTATCCCATCATGCTCGCATCTGCCCTTCTTCATGGGCTCCTTCTCCTTAGCCTGCACAGCCTCAGGAGCTACTGCTGAGAATCCAAGGATGCCTCTGGAAATCCCAGCCCTTGCTCCACTGAGAGACCCTCTCAGACCCACTGGTCCTCTGGGCTGTGAACCAACATTGTAAATGTCACCTCCTATCCTGCTGTGACTGAAGTTAAGCTGCCTGGATTAATTCTGCTTCCTTTCTGGAGGGCTGACATCTCAGGGAAATTGTTCATGGCTCCAGAATTGTCTTTCCCTCCTGGGGAAAGCAAGCTCATTCGGAAGCACTGAGTAACTGATTATAAGACCTCTGCTGGTCAGGCCTTCGTCATTGGTTTGCCAACATCCTCTCACTGGATGGTTACAAACCTTTCCCTGTGAGGACCAGAGAGTGGAAGGGGGAATTTGTCTCTCCTTGTGGCTGTGGAAATGGCTGCTAAGTTCACGTCAGAAACTGTGATGCCTTTGTGCAAAGAACTGGTCCTCCCCACCATGAAGGCTGGGGCAACCTCTGTGCATTGTTGATGTAAGGTTCACAGAATTCGCTGCCTGCCAGCTGCTATCTCCTGGCTGCCTCCCAGGTCACTGAAATGCCCACCACAGATACCACCATAAGCTTCCTGACTTGGACACTTTACCTTCCTGGAAGCAACCAATATACTTTTAGGGATTGAGCTCTTAGTTAAGTCATTATTGCCCATCATGCCCCAGTTGACAAAATTCCAGGGAAACCTAGAAAATTCTAGAAAATCAAAAATAAATGAGAGAAAGTGGAAAAAAAGTAACATCTGTTGAGTTTCTCTTTAGTGCCTAGGATTAAACACATATCATTCTACTAAGGGTTTACAACTACCCCCGACAAAGATAGTATTCTCACCATGTATGGATAGGGAAACTGAGGGTCCTATGGGCTGGGTTACTTGCCCGATTTTGTATGGATGTCAAAGCCATGGCTCTCTGACCTTCAAAACCTTTAATCTTCATTATTCAATCCTTTCTCCAAGTGAGTGCTTCCAGCAGGGCCTGAAGTAAAAGTCTGAGATTTTGTGTACCCATTGGGCGGTTTAATTCGGGAAAATCCTGTAAAGAAAGAGACAGTGCTTGGAGTACACATTACCAAGGCTTCAGCAGCATGAGGTCTCAGGGTTCTAGAAGAGCTCCAGAGGGCTCAGAATTCACTACTGAGCTCAGGAAGCTCAGCCCTCTCTGATCCTCCAGGGAACACAGGGAGAGGCAATTGGCCAATTCATTTTTGGGTTGGGAGAATACACCCAAAAGAGCCAACTGTGAGAATTCAAAATTGAATACACATTTACTAGGAACATATACTGTGCAGGTGTTGAACTATGAAACAGGAGTGGGAGGAAAGGAGAAAATTCAAAAGAATGATTAGATGAAGATGTCTGTATTAGTCTGTTTTCAGGCTGCTAATGAAGACATGCCTGGCCAGGCACGGTAGCTCACGCCTGTAATCCCAGCACTTTGGGAGGCCAAGGTGGGCAGATCATGAGGTCAGGAGATCAAGACCATCCTGGCCAGGATGGTGAAATCCCGTCTCTATCAAAACACCAAAAATTAGCTGGGTGTAGTGGCACCCACCTGTAGTCCCAGGTACCTGGGAGGCTGAGGCAGGGGAATCACTTAAACCTGGGAGGCGGAGGTTGCAGTGAGCGGAGATCGAGCCACTGCACTCCAGCCCAGTGACAGAGTAAGACTCCATTAAAAAAAAAGACACGCCTGAGACTGGGTAATTTACAAAGAAAAAGAGGTTTAATGTACTCACAGTTCCGCATGACTGGTGGGCCTCACAATCACGGCAGAAGGCAGAAGATGAAAGGCACGTCGTACCTGGTGTCAGACGAGAGAATGAGGACCAAGTGAAGGGGGTTTCCCCTTATAAAACTATCAGCTCTCATGAGACTTATTCACTACTACAACAATGGTACAGGGAAAACTGCCCCCACGATTCCAATATGTCTCCCACGGCTCCCTCCCACAACATGGGAATTATGGGAGCTTCAATTCAAGATGAGATTTGGGTGGGGACACAGCCCAACCATATCAATGTCTTCAAGGAGACAGAGGAAGGATAGACTCACAAAGGCACAATTACAATAAGCCTGAAAGTCTCTCTGTGTTCTGATAACTAGAAATGTGATTAAAATGTGAAGGCAAGTCCACAAGGGGCCATTCATGGACAAAAGGGATGTAGAAAAAAAAAGGCACTTGAAGGATGACATAAACGTTCCCTCCATGTGGCCTCGGCCTGTGTGAGAGTAGCTGGCGGTATATGGGCCTTGGGAGTTGTCAATTCCCTCCTGACCACATAAAGGTGGCAGGTGATTATTTTGTGTCCCAGGCAGATTTATTTAACTTCCTTTTGGTGGAGACCTATAAATGTGATCATAGTCCCTGCCGTAAAGTTTTGCAGGCCCTTTTAAAAATTCAGGCTCTTAATTCACTTCCTTGCCTACCAGGGACTGTGGAGTCTTCTGCCCATGCTTCAAGGGGAGGAAGGAGGTGGCACTTTCATTGGCACCAGTCCTGTCTCCTGAGGGGCCTTCTCCTGTGCTTCCTTCCTGCTCCCCTCACCTCTCCCTGCCTCTCCTCCTCCTGCTCCTCTCCTCTCAACTTTGTGAAGTCTGTGTGGTAAAGTCAGCCGTCCAGCCATAAAAGACATGAGAGACCTTTGTGATGTGTAGGATGGTTTCATGAAGGTCCTTCTGTTTTCTGCTGTCAGGATACTCATCACTTTCTGCCCCAGCCTCCTAGGAATCACCACCTGTGGGCAACCAACTCCATTCCTCTCTTGGGGATTAGCAAAGATTTAGCAGTCATTGGGTTGGTTGACCTGTTCTGTTTCCCAGACACAAAGACAGGAATTCAAATGCTAGTCTTTAAGCCACTCGATGGCCAAGGTTCCTCTTCTATTACGTAACTAAACACAAGGCTAACCTTTAAGTTGAGCTCGCTGGTCTTCATTTGAAACTATCAGGGGAATCTGTGAAATGTCTCCTGATATGGAAAAGGCCATGTGGCCTTCTGCCTATGTCACTGATGAGGGAAAACCAAGAACTCTTTAATTTTCTTTCCATTGTTATTAAAATTAATATGTGGGCCAGGCAAGGTAGCTCACACCTGTAATCCCAAAATCCCTTTGGCACTTTGGGAGGCTGAAGCAGTGGATCACCTGAGGCCAGGAGTTCGAGACCAACCTGGTGAGACACCCATCTCTACTAAAAATACAAAAATTTGCCAGGCATGGTGGCATGTGCATGTAATCTCAGCTACCCGGGAGACTGAGGCAGAAGAATTGTTTGAACCTGGGAGGCGGAGGTTGCAGTGAGCCAAGATGGCACCACTGCACTCCAGCCTGGATGACAGAAAGAGACTATCTCAAAAAAAGAAATTAATATGTGATCTTTCGGGAAACTTTGAAATATTCTAGAATGCATTTAAAGAAAAAAAACTCACAACTTCACAATTCAGAGATGGTCACTGTTAACATGTTGGTAGATTTCTTGCACACTTATACATGCGATTTGCAATCTATTACTTTCTCCTGCCATTTTCATCAACTAGTCATCAGAAGCCCACCCAGCACAGCCCTGCGCTCCTGTGAGGAGTCTGCTTCCAGAAGAGTCACCAATTGGCCTTTATAATCTTCGTTCTTGTATACTATTGGTAGCAGCATAGAGAAGTGTGTAGGAATAAGATGATTGGACCTTTGAGGTTTGTGAAGCCACACACATTCATTTTTAAATGTATAGGTTCTAAGTTAGGATTCAGTTAGAAATCTCTTAGTTGTGACAGAAAATATACTCAAAGTGCCTTAAGCAGAAGGGTTAAGGCACTTCAGGAATCTGTTGGTTCACACTACTAAAAATTCAGGGAGAAACAATTAAACATAGTAGAATTCAGAGATTCAAACTATGCCACCAAGGCATAGCCCAAAGCTGGGCTTTCTTCACCTCAACTCCACTGCCGTGTGGTTTCCAGCTCACCTTGGCTTTTTCTTCATGGTGGAAAAATGGCTGTGAGCTGCTCCAGCCTTTTCTTCATGACTTCATGGCTAGAAGATTTGAAGAAAACTTCAAATCGAGTTCCAGCCAAAGTCCCAACTCATTGGCTTTGATGCAGTCACCTGCTCATCTCTGAGCCAATCCCATGTCCTAGATGATATGGCTCTCTGATTGGCCAGACCTTTGACACATCCCCTTTCCTGGAGCCAATAGAAGTAGTTTCTGCCTTTGAACATAATGGTCTGAGAAGGGAGAGGTCCTCCTTGGCAAGGAATTGGGGGACTATTACCGATGTTACAATCTTCTGATGCAATCAGTGTTGGTGACAATGTTCATTGCTGTTGTTGCTGCTACCATGTATGTAAAGGATTTCTGCTGCCCTCTGTGTCATACCTTCAGGGGTGCTGATACTTAGAGGTAAGTAGCAGGAGAGAAATACAGCATGTGACTTTATCTTTAGATGAATATAATACTTTGAGTTTCTTTACATGCTTCAAAGAAGACTCACAGAGTGATGCCTGATTCTCTTCCCCTCAGCCCTAAGTTACAAAACCCAGGTTAAATACCTTGCTAAATTGCACCTGCTTTGTGATATTGAATTAAGTCCAGCCCCTGGTCCCATCAGCTGGCCCAGCCATGGGCTCCTGTACGAAATAGTCACTGATTGGCCGTTGCTTAATCCTTCCTTTGTTCTTGTATCCTATTGGTAGCAGCACAGAGAAACCTGTGGGAATAAGATGGTTGGACCTTCAGGGTTTGCGAGATTATACACATTTGATTTTAAAATGTATAGTTTCTAAGAGTTATCCAGATATTAGTTTCAACGTCTATCACAGATGTTACAATATTCTGATGGAATCAATGTCATGTGTCATTAGTTTCACTGTGTTTGCACACTTCTTGTAACATTTTTGAAAAATTTGAAAACTTTTAGTAAATGTCTTAGCACTAAAGAAGTAATGATAAAATAAAGTGTATACATTTTAGATATGTGCTAGTGCCATTTAGAATATCGGAGGCTCCCATCACAGCTACCAGAAAAAAAAGGTAAGGATGTTAGTGAACAAAAATACCAAGGTGCACAGCAGGCCTTTTCTCATGTCCTTAAATATTCTTTGAAAGTATCATTTTAATGGCTGCATAACACACTATTGTGTAGTGCACCATATTAACCAATCACTGTTGAATGTTTTCTAGTTTTGTGTTTGTTTTGAACTGTTATAACATAATGCTATATGGAACATCCCTACATATAAATCTTTAACTGCTTCTTTATTTTCTCAGGATAAATGCCCATCAGTGGAAGTATTTGGCCATAGCCTCAGAAAAGCATTAAATTACAGAACCACCCACCAGGTGTGACCTGGATCTCACCTGACCCTTACCATAATGGAGAATCTGAATCTTACTCATTCAGACAGACAGTCTTAATTCGCCCATTCCATTGCTTTGTTAACATGAGGAAAAGAGAATATTGGGATTGAAGGGAAATGTAAAGCAGATAACAGACTAAAAGTGATTTCTGCCATTCAGCCTTGGAAGAGTTAAAGTTAAATCAAAATAAGAAACTGAAGTCAAAAGCTATAATTTTTTGAGTTGTGTATGGAATGAAGCCATGATAATGGACTCCATCTTGACATGAAACTGCTCTGAACAGTGAGATGATGGTAGAATCTTGGATCTTGGAAAAGTAGACTAGAAAAAATTCTTTTGTCCATCATTTAATTTTTGTTAAACTCAACTAAATATGTTATATAAAATCTACTTTTTCCAATCAAATCATTCAAGCTACACAGAGAAAAAAGTTAATCCAGTCATTCACTCATTCATTTAGTAAACATTTCATAAGATATTTATTTGAAAGATGTAATTCTAGATATTTGAGGCTACAGAATTTGAAATGAAGAAAATACATCTACTTTCTAATAGCTAAATGAATTATTCTACACATTAAGGAAGACATCAGAAGTATGTACATTACCCTTACTGGGATGAAAGGGTTTCTAGGTAAAAAATAAGACCTAGTGGGAGTTAACTGACTTTATTTTATTAACTTATCCAGAGAAAAAATGTATTAGACCAAAGGGAGATGAGATCACAGAACACAGAAAAGGGAATATGGGAGAGATTTATTTTGGCGATGCCCATCAAAGCACTCTTTTGGTATCCTAAGAAGTCCACAGGAACACATGATTTGTTTGGTTTCTCTGCAGACACAGATGCATCAGACTATCACTGTCTGATGATATTAAACATTCAAATCTGCCATCAAGACCCCTTGCTCTGATCTCTCATAATCCATGCAACCTTCTGATAATTTAGCTTTCTATGTAGTTTTCCTAGATGGAGAAAATGTACAGATCAGCCAAATGAGAATGTCTTCTCTTGTAAGTTGTATTTCTCATCATAAATTAGTGAATTGACATTTTGATTTATACACATGAGATTCTTGTGAGCTGGGTTAATTTGTACCCTGAGAAATTGCTCCACTTAATATGCTAAGATAATCAAGCTTCTAAGCCCCAAAGGCTGAGGGTTAGAATTACTAAAGTGGTACCATCCTATGTAGCCACTGATGACCAACCAACCTGCCTGATAGGTGGACACTGTTCAACAAATGCTTCTTGACTTACATTGAGTTGAATTGAGTGAATTTGATTAATTAAGTTTGGATGAGAGATAAGGACAGGCTCATAGACCTAAGAAGTCACCAGTATAGATCAGATGAATCTATATAAATAGATGAGATTGTCCAGGAATCACAGAATTTGTTGAAAGGTGGAAAGGGGGCAGTAACTTAGAGAATGCCCATTAGAAGGATCTGGAAGCTGGCCAGGGTGGCTCACAACTGTAATCCCAGCACTTTGGGAGGCCAAGGTGGGAGGATCACTTGAGCCCAGGAGTTCAAGACAAGCCTGGGCAACACAGCAAGATCCCATCTCTACAAAAAATTTAAAAGTTAGCCAGGTGTGATGGCATATGCCTGTAGTCCCCCAGCTACTCAGGCAGCTGAGGTGGGAGGATCACTTCAGCCCAGGAGGCAGAGGCTACAGTGATCTGTGATCACATCACTGCACTCAAGCCTGGGTGTCATAGTGAGACCCTGTCTCAAAAAACAAAAAAGGATCTGGAAGAGGAAGAACAGTTACTGGGGCATTTGAAGTTGAGTAAGAGAGGAAATCTCAGTGGGCTGAAGATAATATAATGAAACATCCCAAGTTCTAGTATGTTCTTCTCCATTTCTACTCTGTCCACTATTATCTACTGGCTTTAAAGATTATTTATATAACCCCAAATTTTTAGCTCAAGCCTTGACCTTTTTCCTGGGTTCCAAACTCCTATATCCAACAGACTGTTTGCCATCTACAATGAGATGCGTAGGATGGCGCCTTCACATACTTGAAACACAACTGTGGATGCTTACCCTACAAAGGGGAGGTATTTTTCCCTCTCCCAGTCTCTCCAGCTTGGTAAATGCCACTCCAGTTGTTCAAGCCAAAAACCAAAGTATCACCTTCGATTCTTCTATTTTCTCTACATACCCCCTCCTTGAATCCAGTCTATCACTGTCACCTGTGACTCTATTTCAAAAATATGTTTCATTCACAAACTTCCCTGCATCCAAACTACTCTTGGTCAAACCGTCAATATTTCTTGCATTCTAGAAGATCCTCCTGACTCTATCCCTGGCACCTCTATTCTTTTTTGAATGCATGTTGGTTCACGGTGCTCCTCTAGAGTTTAAACACATGAGATGGTTCTTCACTGTAACTAGGATAAAATACAAAGTAAGTCCTCACCATCGCCGAAAATTTCTGTGTGAACTAGTCCCAAATAGCCCTGCAATTTCATTTCCTACCACTGAAGGCTACTACCTAGCCACACTGGCTTTCTTTCTTTTTCTTTTTCTTTTTTTTTTTTTTTTGAGATGCAGTTTTCCTCTTGTTACCCAGGCTGGAGTGCAATGGCTCCATCTCGGCTCACCACAACCTCCGCCTCCTGGGTTCAGGCAATTCTCCTGCCTCAGCCTCCCGAGTAGCTGGGATTACAGGCACGCACCACCACACCCAGCTAATTTTTTGTAATTTTTAGTAGAGACGGGGTTTCACCATGTTGACCGCGATGGTCTCAATCTCTTGACCTCGTGATCCACCCGCCTCGGCCTCCCAAAGTGCTGGGATTACAGGTGTGAGCCACCACGCCCGGTGGCTTGCTTTCTTTTATACATGTATGCCAAGGTCTTTTGTTCCTCAGGGGCTTGGCATTTGCTAGTTTTTCTGCCCTATGACCCTACCTCCAATCTTTGTAAGACCTTCAATTGTGATTCAGATCCCACTCACAATGGACTGAATATCTGTGCCTTCCCACCACCCCCAAATCTGCATGTTGAAATCCTAACCCCAAGTGTGATTATATTAGGAGATAGGGCCTTTGGAAGGTAAATTAGGTCATGAGAGAAAAGTCTTCATGAATGGGATGAGTGCCCTTATAAAAGGGACCCCAGGCCAGATGCAGTGGTTCATGCCTATGATCCCAGCACTTTGGAAGGCTGAGGCAGGTGGATCACTTGAGGTCAGGAGTTTGAGACCAGCCTGGCCAACAGGGTGAAATCCCATCTCTACCAAAAATGCAAAAATTAGCTGGGTGTGGTGGTGCACACTTGTAATTCCAGCTACTTGGGAAGCTAAGGAGGGAGGATCACTTGAATTTGGGAGGTGGATGTTGCTGTGAGCCAAGATTGCATCACTACACTCCAACCTGGGTGACAGAGCAAGACTCTGTCTCAAATAAAAAAAGAGAGAGAGAGAGAGAGAGAGAGACCCCAGAGAGCTCTCCAGCTCATGTGAAGTTGAGATCTACAACTCAACTTGTGTAAGACGTTGGTGATCTACAACTCAGAAGAGGGCCCTCACCAGAACCCAACCATGCCGGAACCCCAAGATCAGACTTCCAGCCTTCGGAACTATGAGAAATGAACTTTGGTTGTTTATGAGCCACCCAGTCTATGGTACTTTGTGATAGCAGCCTACACTAACTAAGACACCACTCAGATATCTCTTTCTCACTACCTGTAAGGACCTGATCACATTACTCAGTCCCAAATACAGCCACATTTTAACATAGCACCTTGTCCCATTTTCTCCACAGTGCCTCTCTACACACCTGCTCCATGCATCCAGTTCATCACTTGTTAATTGTCTTTCTTGCTCCACCTCCCCACCATACCTAATCTATGAGAGGAAGGACATTTTGTCCCCACCCCTGCATTCTCCTGAACCTGAGAGACTGCCCAGCACATAGTAGGTGCTCAGCAAACATTTATTCAATAAAAGATGAATCAATGTGTGGGAGGCTGCTGCAGAAGGATTGCTTGACTCCAGGAGTTTGAGACCAACCTAGGCAATAGAGTAAGACCCTGTCTCTAAAAAATTTTTAAATTAGCCAGGTATGGTGGTGTACATTTGTCATCCCAGCTATTCAGAAGGACAAGGTGGGAGGATCATTTGAGACAGTAGATAATCTGGGGACAGAGTAGAGATGGAGAAGAACACACTAAAACTGGGGTGTCTCTACATTATCTTCAGCCCACTGAGATTTCCTCTCTTACTGAACTTCAAATGCCCCAGAAACTGTTCTTCCTCCTCCAGATCCTATTTTTCTTTTCTTTTCTTTTTTGAGACAGGGTTTTTCTCTGTCACTCAGGCTGAAGTGCAGTGGCATGATCATAGCTTGCTGCAGCCTGGACCTACCAGGCTCAAATAATCCTCCCACCTCAGCCTCCTGAGTAGCTGGGACTACAGGCACATGCCACCATGCCTAGCTAATTTTTAAATTTTTCATAGAGACAGGGTCTCAGTATGCTGCTCAGGGTGATCGTGAACTCCTGGGATCAAGCAATCCTCCCACCTTGGCCTCCCAAAGTGCTGGGATTACAGGTGTGAGCCCAAAAGTTTAAGGCTGCAGTGAGCTGTGATTTTACCACTGCACTCTAGCCGAGGCTACAGAACAAGACCCTCTATCTAAAAAAAAAAAAAAAAGAGTAAGAAGGTACTCTTACTCTAGGTAGAGTAAGGTAAGAAACACTAAAAGGAGACTAAATGAGAGGAGGAGGAGAAAATTAACCTCCTCATTTTTTGCCAGAACATACCATTCCTCACCAAGAATTCCCAGTAATGAACCTAGTTCCATTGGCAATACTTTTTATTTTGCATTCAAAGATTCAAATTCTTGATCCCTGGCTCTTGTTAACAGCCTCAGGAAACAGGCCAGAAAGGAAAACAAAATCCAGCCACCCTGTTTAAATATCAGAAAAATGATTTTCATGCATTAAAACTCAGTATTTATACTGGAATACAGAAATATGATTCTGAGAGAGAGAGAGAGAGAGAAAATGATGAGGAGATGCAATTAATTGCAATGTAGGCCTGCTATTTTTTTCACCTTGAACAGATAACTTAACCTTTCCGACCCTTAAGATTCCAGGCTGGGAAGCAGATGTACCAACACTTTCCTCTTCTTAACTCTCAAGTCTATTTTAACTCATAAAATGTGAAAAATATATAACAATGGCTTAAGGTTAGACACTTTACAGGTTATAGAGCTTGAGAATTTTTTGATAGCTTTGGAGAAAAGAGTAAATTATCATTTTTATGGTCATAATTCAGGGTCAGTTTATCACATTATATAGCTTTGAAAAGAATTATTCTTTAACCAGAGAAATAACATGTGTCTATTACGGCCTGTTATACTAGCAATAAGACCCGTGACTATAGCATCAGTGAGGAAGAGACTGGAATGAGAGGAATGGAAAATCAATTTGTCTACTTTTCCAACCCAACATTTATATGCTGACACCAAGTGCTGATAGTTACCGAGTCAAGTATCAGATGTTTGTGTAATACCTCAAACACCACAGGCTGCCAGGATTTCCGTCTGCAAATTCCAACCGCTTGACTTCAGTTCCAACTAGGATCTCTTTCTTCTTCTGCACATCCACGGTAGGACGTTGAATATTTTCCACCTGTGCTTGGGAGGGCAAGATACATAACTTAATAGTTACGTATGTTAGACATACTTTTGTTGCAATACCATAAGAAACCTTGACTAATATTGACTTTAAAACATTAGGGCTTATTTGTTTTATCCAACAAGAATTCTAGGAGAGGGTAGTCTGAGGCTAAGATGGTAAATCAATGACCATCCGGAAGCCCGCAGTGATGAGCTGGTAATTTTAACAACCCTTCTGAAGGGACAGTACTTATTTTGTTAGGTTTGTCAATTTCCATATCATACATATTTCCACCATGATTTGATTTCCGGTTATCAATGTGACACATCTAAGTGCAAAGTTGGAAAGAAACGCTCAATTGCATTCCAGTATGAAATATTTCCACCATAAATATTATATGCGTAAATAATCTCATGAGCATTAGAAAGTAGTAATTAAACAATAAATTAGTTTGCACTACTATCTTTGTTTTATTATAACTTATTTCATTGTAAGTTTATACAAAGCAATTTTTAATCATGGCCGTGCTGAACAACAGACACGCAAAATCCTTGAAAACTTATTGGTCAAATCTTGCAAGCCAGTAAAAGTCAGTTCCAACAGAGGCTCTTCACATCAATTTGCTCTGCCATCTTTAATGTGTGGACCTTTAGCTATGTGCCTGTTGCTTCATTGTCACCGGATGGTTACTGCCCTTCTGAGCCTCACATGTTGCAAGCAAGAAGAAGAGAAAGGTACCAAACAGCTAATGAGGCATGCCTATTAAAACATATGTATACATATATTTTTTTCCCCAAAATCCCACCTAGGGGCTTCAGTTTACAATGCATTGGCCAGAATTGAGTTATGTGTGCCTAGCGTGAAGATGGCTAGGTAGAAGAGGAAACATGAATGATGGCGGAGTTGGCCAATGAAATGGGTCTGCCATGAAAATAAAAATGTACTGATGGAACTCCAAAGTTCAAGACACCATGCTTTGTACAACGAGGCAGAGAAGAAGATAGAGTGGTTCAAAACTCAGTGCTTGCCCTCAAAGATTTTTGGAAGATAAGGCTAGGCAGGGTGGCTCCCACCTGTAATCCTAATACTGTGGGAGGCCAAGAAGGGAGGATTGCTTTCGCCCAGGAATTCAAGATCAGCCTAGGCAATATAACAAGACTTCTTCCCTACAAAAAAAAAATAAAATAAAATAAAAAACAGACAGGTGTAGTGGCACATGCCTATGGTCTCGGCTTTCTGGGAGGCTGAGGCAGGAGTCCAGGAATCCGAAGCTGCAGTGGGCTATGATCATGCCACTGTACTCCAGCCTGAGCAACAAAGCAAGACCCTGTGTCTTAAAAAACAAATAAACAAAGATTCTTGGAAGACAAGACAGAGAAATACAACCAACAATTCCAGTTGAATTTTCCTTTAACAACACACTAAGAGTCAAGTGTTGGTTCAGAAGCTAAGTACCTCTGTAGTTGGGAGAGGCAGACATCACTCTGTTCTGGGCTGTCCCTTCCAGCAGAAGGGCTTATCCTTATGGAAAGAAAAGTCAAGTCAAACAAGTAACTGCCAATGAGTTTACAAATTCTGCTTAATCTGAATCATAAATTACTGTACATGGGCACAGCCTTTGGGCACTTCCCTATTTCAGTTATTTTAGCTAATTGCACGGGAGGTTTAAATTTGTGTTGTAACATGTGGGCTAAAATTAAATTGCTCTATCGGCAGTGACCTACCTGCTTTTTCTGGGTAACAGATAACTTATTTTTCTAAGCTTAGTCCAATTCTTTTCAATGCCCTCTGGAAAAACTTTACTGGTGTCAAATCCTTTTGTTTCATTTTAAGAATTCTTTCTGTGCAAGAAGGAATAAGACCACAATGGTTAAAAGCATCGTGTTACCATTTCCGAAGGTAGGCACAATACTGCTTGGTATGTTATCACCATGTCTCCTGAATTTTCTATCACCATCAAGGTTGAATTACATTATGCTCCTATTTCTTTAAGTTTTCTGAATCTCCTCCTGCACCTGGGCAGAGTGGGGACCCTCGCTCTTCTCGTGAATAACTTCACCAAAATGAATAAGAAGAATGGTTGCTGCAAGTTGCTGAGCTACACAAGCCTTTGGGGCTGTTGAATCAGCCATCAATTTTGCCTGATGTAAAAGGTTATTCTCTTACTGCCTTTCAGTTTTGCCCTTTCAGTTCTGTACAGGCCACCATTGAATTTTTTACTTAAAAAAAAAATCGAGCATAGTGGCTTGTCTGCCATAATGAAAGGTCTGGGACGTCCAGAACACTTCTTGCTACAGGGTCCTTCAGGATAGCATGTTCCTCTCCTTTCCTGGTAACCTAAGAACCTTTCTTGTTTTTTCTTTGAGACGGAGTCTTGCCCTGTCTCGCAGGCTGGAGTGTAATGGCAAGATCTTGGCTCACTGCAACCTCCACCTCCCAGATTCTTCTGCCTTAGCCTCCCGAGTAGCTGGGATTACAGGTGTGTGCCACTGTGACTGGCTAATTTTTTGTATCTTTTGTAGAGATAGGGTTTCACCATGTTGGGGAGGCTGGTATCCAACTGCTGACCTCATAGTCCACCCACCTTGGCCTCTCAAAATGCTTGGGATTACAGGCATGAGCCACCGTGCCTGGCCAATCTTTTTTTTTCCCACCATCCCATCTTTCTCTCCATATGACCCACTTTGCCCCATATAAAAATAATATGCTAATTAGCTATTGCTGCATAATAAACTGCCCCAAAATATACTGCCTCACTGCAGCAAGCATTTCTTTTACTAGCTCTTGGGTCTGTGGAGTTCATGGGACATCCCCGCTCCAGACTGGTCAGCTTAGTCAGGCTGCAGACTCCAGGTTGAATTCAAGTCCTATCTTCGTCCACTTGTGTTGATAAAAAGTGTCCATGAAAAGAGTCAAAGTCTGTAAAATATCTGAAGAGATTTATTCTGAGCCAAATATGAGTGACCATGGCCTGCGACACAGCCCTCTTAGGAGGTCCTGAGAACGTGAGAACGTGTGCCCAAGGTGGCCCAGGGCACAGCTTGGTTTTACACATCTTAGGGAGGTATGAGACATCAATCAAATACAATTAAGAAATACATTGGTTTGGTCCAAAAAGGTGGGATAACTTGAACGGGGCGGGGGGGGAGGGATAAGGGGAAAGGGGGACTTCCATGCTATAGGCAAATTTAAACATTTTCTAGATGGCAATAGGTTGAGTTTGTCTAAAGACCTGGAATCAATATAAAGAAAATATTCAGGGTGAGTCAAAAGATTGTGAAGACCAAGGTTCTTTTGAAGTCTCATAGTGGCTGCCCTTAGAGACAGTAGATGACAAATGTTTCTTATTCAGACCTTTAAAAGGTGCTAGACTCTGAGTAAATATCTTCAGGATAGAGAGGGCCTAGAGAAAAAGATCCAGCTATGTTAGAGATTCTTTACAGATGCAAATTTTCCCCCTCAAAGGACAGCTTTACAGGGCCATTTCAAAATATGCCAAAGAAACATGTTTTGGGGTAAAATACTTTGATTTTCTTCTTTATCACGTAATGTTATGCCAGAGTCAGACTGGAAAGTAAGTCATGATATAGAGGGTTAAATAAACCCATGTGATGAGCATTTATGGTTTGTAAGACACGACTCTCCAGACCCCTTAGAGAGGAATTTGGGCAAGATTTTTTTAAAATCAGAGCTTAGTCCTCAAAAGCAGTATCTAGGACTGGGTAATTTAAAAAAAGGGTTATTTGGGTCATGATTCTGATTTCTGGCAAAGTTAGATATTGGGCATCTGTCTATATCTGTGACGGCCACAGAATGCTTCCACTCACAGGGGAAGGTGTTAGGGAGCTGGTGTGTGCAGAGGTCACCTGGCAAGAGAGAAAGCAAGACAGAGAGGCAGGAGGTACCAGGCTCTTTATAACAACCAGCTCTCTGTTATAGATTAGAGGCAGAGCTCACTTACCTCCCCTCACCAGGGAAGACATCTATCTATTCAGCAGGGATCCACCCCCATGACCCAAACACTTATCAGGAGCCACCTCCAACATTTGGGATCAAATTTCAACAAGAGGCTTGGAGGGGACAAATATGCAAACTAGTACCTACCCCGGCATGGTCTTTTCATGGCGGACATCCGGGAAACAAACAGACAAGCAGAAACAAGCAAAGCCCCTTGAGGACTCACACCTGTCGCAAGCACTCACCTCCCGTTGGCCAAATGCATTATCAATGGGGAGGGAAATACACAACCCTCATGCCAGTGGAAGATGCTTAGAATCATATGGCAAAGGATGTGGATGACTAATTCTAACTCAGGGAGAACTGGAAGAATTGCAGTCCATGATTCCATCTTCCACAGATAACCCTTGCCTTTTGGAATCATCTGTTTTCTCACAAGCAGTTTGCATATCATGGTTTTGTAAAGAAGCTTTACACAGTGGCTCACGCCTGTAATCCTCAAATTATGGGAGGCCAAGGCAGGTGGATCGCTTGAGCCCAAGTGTTTGAGACCAGCCTGGGCAATGTAGCGAGACTTCATCTCTACCCAAAAAAAAGTACAAAAATTAGCTGGGCATGGTGATGTGCATCTGTAGTCCCAGCTACACTGGAGGCTGAGTTGGAAGAATGGCTTGAGCCCAGGAGGCAGAGGCTGAAGTGAGTCAAAATTGCACCACTGTACCACTCAGCCTGGGAAAGAAAACAAGACCTCTGTCTCCAAAACAAAGCTTCTCTGGCGCCTGATTTTGTTCTTTCCTCCATAAGCATGTAATAAATGCCTGTGAAATTTCCCACTGTTCACCCTGAGGGCTAAGACATAGGGGGCTCCTCTAAAGAAAAATGCTGGTGTGCTGGCACACACCTGTACTCCCAGCTACTCCCAAGGCTGAGGCAGGAGAATCACTTGAACCCAGGAGGCGGAGGTTGCAGTTAGCTGAGATCATGCCACTGCACTCCAGCCTCAACGATAGAGCAAGACTCCGTCCCCCCCCAAAAAAGAAAAATATAGTAATGGAAATAACTTGCACCAACATACTTGGTACTGTTGGTTGATAATACAAAGAAATATATGATTAAGAGCCAGCATGAGGATGGAAAGGTAGGATTTTGATAGGTATAAACAGAGCATTTTCAAAAGGAGAAGCACATCTCAGGATAGAAAAGTCTCACATGGGAATGACATAAACTCAGACGTATGTCATCCTTTTACCAATTAAAAAAAAAGGTGAAAAATGGATAATTATGTTTAACCAGTCAGCACGCTGGTTATATTTTGGCCCTGTTTCTATACTCCTAATTTTTAACTAATGAGCTTTCCACTATTTGGGTTTTTTAAATAATAATAATAAGGCCTAGCATAGTGGCTTACACCTACAATCCCGGCACTTTGGGAGGCCGAAGTGGGAGGATTGCTTGAGCCCAGGAGTTGAAGACCAGCCTGGGTAACATAGCCAGTCCTTGTCTCTACTCATTATCAAAAACATTAGCAGAGTGACACAGCAAGACCCTGTCTCAAGAAAAAAAAAAAATTAGCCAGGCATGGTGGAGCATGCCTGTGATCCCAGCTACTGAGGAGGCTGAATTGGGAGGATCACTTGAGCCCAAGAGATTGAGGCTGCAGTGAGCTATGATAGCACCACTGCACTCCAGCTTGGGCAACAGAGCAAGACCCTGTCTCAGTAATAATAATAATAATAATAAAAAATGTAGAATAGCACAAATGGAGGTATTCTTCAGAATTCATTTGTAATGCAAATATTCATAGCCCTAGTTGATTTATTTAATCGATTTAGATTTCTTTCCTTAAAACCAGAAATGCCTTTCTACTGAGATTTTTATTCATACATAAAAAAAATAACACCTAAGGAAACGGCGACTGAAAGATTTCATTCCAGGCAGCCTGGCAGGAAGAGACCTCGGTCACTCAGTTCTGTGATTCCCTGGCAGTGCTGGTGCATGAAGAAATTGCACTTTTATCTGTTTCAACTGCAGAATGAAAGAAGAGACATTTGAGCTCTGTACAGGTTCGGATTCAGTTCCAAAGTTTGCTTCCTGGACTCAGAAACTAGCCATTGGTCTGAATTAGACTCAGAAAACTGGCAGGTCACTGAGCCTTCCTTCATTTTACAGATGATGAAAAGAAAAATTGGGAGTTCAATAAAACTGGGATTAAAATACAGGTCTCCTGACTTTCCAAGCGAAGGCAAGATTCTGCCAGCCACCTCCTGCGTCCCTTTTACATTCCTAGAGCATTTGCTATAAGCTATCTCCTCTCCAGCTTCTGTGAAACTGATCCTCCAGAACAGCCTTGACCTCAGACGGAAGAACTTGATTCATATCACAGCTCCCACATATTAGCTGGGTGTCCATGGACAAATTGCAAGCTCTCTCTCTGTTTCCATTCAGTCCTCTGCAAAATGAGGCTGATGGTGTCTAAGGTACAGTGGAGGCAGTGGAATAATCTATTATACCGTGCCTGACACACAGGAGCAGAGTGACAAACAGTCATGACGATGGTGACAATGAGGAAGAATGAGCATGGTGGACTTAGACACATGTCCAGAAATAGACCTGCACAGAGAACTCAGAGAAGAGACGTGACATGAACTTGCCTGAGACGCACATGGGGCATCTGTGGTTTTTCTGCCCTGGGATAGTAGAAGCAATCGTTTCCCTGTCCTAGGTGTTGTCATGAATTTAATGAGCTACTGTTGGATCAACACACCTTTGGGGTGGGATAGGGGAAAGTAGTAATGGATCTTGAGATTCTGAGATTTCCCAGAGGACAGGGAGATATTAAGTTGGTGCAAAACTAATTGCGGTTTTTGCCATTACTTTTAATGGCATTACTCTTTTTTTTTTTTTTTTTTTGAGACAGAGTCTTGCTCCATCACCCAACCTGGAGTGCAATGGCACAATCTCAGCTCACTGCAACCTCCACCCACCCAGGTTCAAGCGATTCTCCTGCCTCAGCCTCCCGAATAGCTGAGGATTACAGGTGTGTACCACCATGCCTGGCTAATTTTTGTATTTTCAGTAGAGACAGGTTTCACCATGTTGGCCAGGCTGATCTCAAACCCCTGACCTCAAGTGATCCGTCTGCCTCGGCCTCCCAAACTGCTGGGATTACAGCATGAGATACCATGCCCAGCCAAATGGCATTACTTTTAATGGCAAAAACCAGAATTAGTTTTGCACCAACCTAATAGATTTCCCAAAAGGAAAATGAAGATACACCCCATGGAGATTGGAAGAATGAGACAGTTGATGGAAAAAGAATCCCTGAAGGTAGAGAACAACAGGGAAAAAAGAATGTGCCACAAGGGACCCCTGTGGAGAGTTTCTCTTCCCAGGAGCCTTCCTGGTGAGCTATGGGGAAATTATCCTTGACAGTTTTAAGGTTTTCCCTCCAATGTTGCAAGTCCTCACATCCACAGCCTAATCCAAGCTTGAGGGGTAATATAACAGAGGACAAAGTGCGGGAGAATAATGAGAAGCGGGACCTGCCTGTACCATTCCGGAGTTGAACGCTCAACTATACAAACTCAAACTACGCCACTCCCAAGGGCAGACGCGCATTCTCAGTGATAGCACCGCTGACGTGCAGGAGGAAGACAGATCTGTTTTCCAGTCTCATCTCATAATTTGAGAGGTTCTTCTCTTGCACAGTGGAGACCATACTCTACTTTATGACAATGACACAGAGCACTTGTAGGTCCTAGCCTTCATCTTCTCTTCTGAAATGGCCCTTGTGTGGGGCCCACTGGAACTAAGAGAGGGGACTGTTGCTTGGCCATATGCCTCCCAGTGACCACACAAAGACCAGAGGGAAGCCCAGAATTACTGCCCGTTGGGACACCACAACTCTATCTTAAGGATAGGTTACCATAAGTCTCAGTTTCTCCATCTGCAAAATGGAAAGAGTGGGTCCTACCTTATGAGTATCACATCACCTCAACGAGCAGCTCCAGTTTTATTAAGGCACCCTCTGCAGTGCTTGGCACGTGGTAAAGACTCACGTGCCAAGCACATTGTTAGTTTCTCTCCTCCACCTCTTAGTAACTCTCACTGAAGTCAACTCTCCCAGTTTTTCTGGAAAAAATCAGTGCTTCCAATAGCACTGTGGCAGGACCTTAAAGTTGGGGACCCAAAAAAAAGCTTTGCACAAGGAGACATACTGAGCCTCTTCAGAAAGCCTACTCTTCCAAGAAATTGTTTCTAGGAATATGATCTAGCATTATTTCCAGGAAGAAAAAGTGACTCATTGGAAAATGTGATTAGACATCATTCAAAGCTCCCCCTCCCCTTCCAAACTGGGTTCATTTCTCCCTAGGTACAAGGGGCTGGTTAAAATAGACTAAAAGAGGCTTTAAGGGAAAGGAAGTTCCAATACATCAATCGGCGGGTTGTGCAGACAGAGAAAGTGCAGTTCACCATTGGGGCTTGGTGATGAAGGGGTGGGGAGGGCCCTGGGGGGGTCTCATGGGAGGCCTCCGCCTCCTAGGTTAAAGCAATTCTCCTGCCTCAGCCTCCTGAGTGGCTGGGATTACAGGTGCCTGCCACCATGCTTGGCTGATTTTTGTATTTTTAGTAGAGTTGGGGTTTCACCATGGTTGGCCAGGCTGTGTTGAGCTCCTGACCTCAGGTGATCCACCCACCTCGGCTTCCCAAAGTGCTGGGATTACAGGTGTGAGCCACTGCGCCCGGTCAGGTGTTCTTTTTTTTTAGAGACAGGGTCTCTATCTGTCACTCAGGCTGGAGTACAGTGGTGCAATCACAACTCACTGCAGCCCCCAACTCTTGGGCTCAAGTGATCCTCCTGTCTCAGCCTCCTGAGTAGCTTGAATTACCAGTGTTCACCACCACACCTGGCTACTTATTATTATTATCATTTTAGAGATGGGAGTCTTACTATATTGTCCAGGCTGGTCTCAATCTCCTGGGCTCAAGTGATCCTCCCACCTCAGCCTTCCAAAGTGTTGGGATTATAGGCATGAGCCCATCAACTCAAGTGTTCTTTACAAAAACCATTGGCAGTGATGTTGGTCTCTTCAACTTCAGTGATTCCTGACCAGACGCCAGCAGGTCAGGAACTCAGCATAATTACCTCACTTCCAGGCCACCCAGGGCTGCCAAAGAGGACAAGAGGTTCCAGATTCCTAGGGATTCAGTCTTCAGGTATCTCCTTTCTGGAATGACTACTGCCAGGTTCCCTCGTGGAAGGCAGCATGCTGTTCCCCTATCCTCCCTCTGGTAGGTCTCTGCAGATTGTCGAAACACCAGCTGGTCCTCCTCGGCTGCTACATCTAGGAGAGGAAAGAGCAGGAGTTACGGACATGGCTTTGAGGGTTTTTTCATCATCTAAGGGTTCAATATTTAGAGCAATATTGATTCGATTTATCTAGTGTTGTAATGTTCCATTGGTTGCTAGGCAACAGAGTTCTTTCTGCCGTGTACTCTGGGTGGCTCATGGGAATTTGACTACCAAAGAGATTACTTTGTGTATGTGGGACTAAATGGACCATAGGTGCCATACATAAGTTGAGGCAGGGGGATTCTGTTTTACTGGGCAGTGTTAAGACCAGGTTTCCTATCACATTTCAGTAATTGCAATTCCGCCTCCAGAACAATACGGCCATTCATGTTCACATTCCCCTACAAGATACCCTTTGAGAACAATTTAACACAAAGTTGTGCTGATGCATAAAACCCTGTGTTGTGTGCTTACCATTCCATCCTCATAAACTTCAAACCTGCACTGGGGCAAGGATGGATTTATTCCTCCCCTTTCCATCCTCCACAAGCCCATTCATAACCAAAAATAGCAATGTGGATTACAAAAGGGCGCATCCTGGTTTGCACTTCAATCCCAGCATGACAGGGTCTTTCTTCATTTCCCTTATCCCACCTTCTCCCCTCCTCACCCCAAAATTGCCTTCTCTTTTTTTTTTTTTTTTTTTTGAGGCCTTTTTGTAAGTCCTTGACAATGATGCTTGCTGTGACTTTAAAATCCCAAGTCAGAACAGCAGGTAATGAGGCACTGTCAGCTTGGGCTATATGGTTCAGTGACTTGGCATTGATGATGTTTATTTTGGAAGCTGCATGATGGCCTGACCTATTTTAGGATCTCTGCTTCCAACATACCTCTCTCCTCCAATTTTCCAATTAGAAGTAAAGATAAAGGGGATTTGGGGGACACTGGAGAGGGAGGGACAGAAGAATCTGGAAAGTGATTCCCCGGGAGTAACACGTGAAGCTGCCCACGTTGTCCTTAACATTGGGACCACTGTCATAAAGACAATTTCAAGTCCTACTGGAAAGGCAAGAACTAGAGGCTGTGTCCGCACAATGCGAAGGAACTCCAGAGGCAATTCTCCGCCTGGCTGTCCGGTGCAGCCACAGTTGGTATTGTTCAGCACTTTTCTCTGCGGGAAGATCTGTTAAGAGAGAAATGATCCCATTCTTCCTAAGAGAAAAGCTATCTAGAGGAGAGAAAGGAAGGGGAGGGGGCAGGGAGAGGCAAGTGCAGGCAAGTGGCCAGCAACACACATTTACAGGGAATAGAAATGGAAAACAGACGTTAGGCAGGAGTATAAACCATTGCCCTAGGAGCACCATCATCAGCCTCTGAAGAATATAGTTTCTCAGATCCAGGCAAATCATACAGTAAGTCGTTGGGAGCTGCAGATTCACTGTAAGCAGCTCTAAGCAACCGCCCTCCTGGGCTGCCTGGTGCCCTGTCTCAACATCTTTCTAGTGGCTGTGCAGTAGCCAGCATTGCTCAGATAACCACTGAGTTTTTCTTGAGTTGTCCACAGAATAGCTGCCCTGGATCATGGACCACTGACCTTGACTTCCTTCTTTGCTCCAACTTCAACTTCTCTGCTAGATTCTCCGAATAGCGGCCTTGGTCTTTTTGTGTCCTTGTAACTCCCACTCTCTTAAAACAAATTCCACTGGGGCCACCAGAAAATGGCTTACAGAGCCACCATGTCCCTTTTGCAGGCTTAGGTCTTGCTGCTCCTGTAAGGTAAGAAGCTCTGCTTTAGATGAGAACACCTCATTGCTAGTTAAAGGGACAAGAACATCTATTCAGAGGAATGCTGGCTACACAGAAGACTCAGAGAAGGAAAGAAAAGGTGACTACAAAAAGGATGACTTCTGATTTTGTCAATCTATGTAGCAGCTCGTAGAAGTTGTTGATTTAAATCATCTACTATAAGAGTTTGTGACTGGGCACAGTGGCTCATACCTGTAATCCCAGCACTTTGGGAGGCCAAGGCGGGTGGATCACTTGAGGTCAGGAGTTTGAGACCAGCCTGGCCAACATGGTGAACGCCCATCTCTACTAAAAATATAAAAATTAGCTGGGTGTGGTGGCAGGTGCCTGTAATCCCAGGTACTCAGGAGGCTGAGGCAGAAGAATCACTTGAACCTGGGAGGCAGAGGTTGCAGTGAGCTGTGATTGCACCACTGCACTCCAGCCTGGGCAACAGAGCAAGACTCCGTCTCAAAAACAAAACACACACACACACACAAAAAAGACTTTGTGGGCTCTGTCTTAAGGAAACACTTTACTGGACTTATCACTACATTCCATTTTAATTTTTTTTTTTTTTTTTTTTTTTTGGTAGAAACAGAGTCAAGCAATTCTACTGCCTTGGTCTTCCAGAGCACTTGGATTATAAACATGAGCCACTGCATCTGGCCACTATGTTCAATTTAGTGACTTGCCAGATGGACGCTTATTTCTTACATGTATTTCTCTGCTTATGACTTGCCCGGGTTCTTTATATTCTTGGGACCCATCGGTAGCACTGTGCTTTGTCTGTTCGAATTGACTTGCTTCCTGGGCTCCAACCTGGTCAGAGAAGACAGTTACACCTTTAGCTTTCTACCTCCCGGAATGCTGGGAGCCCACACCTTTTATGTTCTTTATTCTGTCTCTTTAACTGGGAATGAGGTGTTCTCATGCACTCCAGAGCTTCTTACCTTGCAGAAGCAGAACAGCCTGGACCTCCAAGTGAGAGATAGTGGCTCCTAGAGCCTTTTTCTAGCAGCCCTGATGGAATTTTTTCCAGGACAGCGGAGTTATAAGAAAGCAAAAGGACCAGGGCCACTCTTTGAAGAGTCTAACAAAGGAGTTGCAACATTCCTGGAGCAAAGAAGGAAGCAAGGTCAGTGGTCCACGAGCAGGGCAGCTGCACTGTGGACAGCTCAAGAAAACGTCAATGACTATCAAGAAGTGTCTATGCTCGAACCACCCGGGACGTGCCAAGGGGAAGAAAGGAATGTAAAAGGAATAAAGATTCCTATTTTCATAATAGGCTTCAGCATTCCGGGAGGTAGAAAGCCAGAGGTATACCTGTCTTCTCTGACCAGGTCGTGGCCTAGGACGCATGCCCATTGTAGCAGGGATCCCCAACCCTTGGGCCACAGACCAGCACCAGTACTGGAACCGGTCTGTGGCCTGTTAGGAATGGGGCTGCACAGCAGGAGGTGAGTGAGCAAAGTTTCACCTCTGTTTACTCCCGCTCCCTATATCGTGCATTCCCGCCTGAGCTCTGCCTCCTGTCAGATCAGTGGCCAGTGGCGTCATTCGATTCTCACAGGAGCGGGAGCGCTTGTGAATGCGCATGCGTGGGATCTACTTTGCTGGCGTCTTATGAGAATCTAATGCCTGATGATCTGTCACTGTCTCCCATCACCTCCAGATGGGGCTGTCCAGTTGCAGGAAAACAAGCTCAGGGCTCCCACTGATTCTACATCATTCTACAATTATTTTGTTATATATTACAATGTCAGAATAATAGAAATAAAGTACACAATAAATGAAATGTATTTGAATCATCCTGAAACCACTCCCCCCTACCCTCACTGTTCATGGAAAAACTGTTTTCCATAAAACTGGTCCCTGGTGCCAAAAAGGTTGGGGACTGTTGCATTAGACCAGACAGAACACAGCTCTGCTGAGGGGTCCCAAGAACATAAAGGGCCCAGGCAAGTCATAAGCAGAGAAATAAAAGTAAGAAATGAATGTCCACTGTGACAAGTCACTAAAATTGAACATAGTGGCTGGCTGTCGTGGCTCAGGCCTATAATCCCAGCACTTTCAGAGGCTGAGGCAGGAAGACTGCTTGAGGTCAGGAGTTTGAGACCAGACTGGACCACATAGCAAGACCCTGTCTCTAAAAAAAAAAGCCCTGAAAATTTTAAATTGAATCCAGTGATAAATCAAGCCAGCAAACAGTCTCCCGCCAACTGAGCCCACAAAGTCTTGTCATAGATTATTTAAATCAACAACTTGTATGAGCTGCAAAATAGATTGACAAAATCAGAAGTTGTCCTTTATCTAGTCATTCTTTGCCTTCTCTGAGTCTTCTTTTAGAATTTCACATGGCAGGTAGGCATCACAATATTTTGGGTCCAAAAATATTTTTCAGGAAAGCAGCCTCAAAATATCAACCTGTCAGACTTTGTCTCAGGTTATTAGCCTGTCTGGTGTCTGCCTTGCAGAAGCTGGCTGGAAATCTGACCAGGTGTGTTTTCCCCTGCTCTTTCTCTATGTATTTCCTTTCTTTACCCAGCATATTTTCCTAGGATTATGATTCACATATTTAAAATTAGAGCAGAAAAAGGGGGGAAAGAGGTGATTCATGTTCATTCCCTATTCCTAGCAATGTTTAGCCTCTGGAATCTAGATTAACAATGTGATGTGCTGAAAGCCTGAAGGAAAATGAGAGAGAGAGGAGGAAGAAAAGGAGGAGGATGAATTGGAGAAGATGGAGCTCACTGCAAATTATATTTCCAGTTCCCAGACTCAGAAGGACATTGCAAATGAAATTGCTTGTGCTTGTAAAATCCTCTCATGCTCAAAGAACCTCTTTTTATAGATGAAATCAGGTTTAACAGAGGAATACTGTGTCTTCAATTAATTAGAAGAAATTAGTTCCCTAATGAAATATATCATCAAGCATTAAAAAAAAACCTAAAGGGTAAGAAGTATTAATGTGTCGATTAAGAGGAAGGATGATAAGTATGTCAGTTTATAGAAAGTAACGCTGTGTCTATATACACAGATGGCTTTGAAAGACATCGACTCTTCCAACTGTTGGATCACAACCAACCAGTTACAAACTGCTTGGTTGCTTGACTGAATTCAGCTGGTTTGTTTTGAAAATAACCCACACTCTGCCTAACATCATTACTTTCCAAACCACTTTGCTGGGTGCTAGCTTCACATGTCTGCCTTCAAACTGTTAATGGATGACACTTGGGAATTGGCTGAAGAAGAGAGTTAACAGAACGTCCTGAAATCAGGAGAGACCCAAACAAGAGCTGCTGGCAGAAAGCCAACTTCAATCGAGGCGAGATACCAAACCAAGAGACTGGAAGTGCCTGAGAGAAAACCGGGCGCTTCTAGAAAATTCCATCTTAAAACATGTCAAGGGAGCCTGGTTTTTCCTAGGTACCAGGGCTCAGGAGACAATCCTTGAAAGCAGGAAGAAGGAAGAAGCTTGGTGATCTGGTCTTTCCATATGGGAATTTAGTGAGGTGAGACTATTAGTCAATGACTCTTTGGCACTCTCCCTCACATGGAGTATCATTCCTATTTTCATAATCCAGAAGTTTTTAAGAGCAGAACTGTTGATGTACTGCTCAAATGACCTTTAGTTAGTTCCAAGAGAAAGATGGAGAAGTCCACAGAGAGCTGGTTCTTATTCTAAGCAGCTGGGATGGAGGTGGAATGACACAAATGTAGACATTCATTTCTAGCACCTCACAGTATTCACACAGCTCCAGAGAAAGGCAGGGGCACTGATTCCTTTCTAATTAGTCACAGAAGCTTTTGATAAGAGCCCCAAGAGATCCATGCCCCCAAATATCACTTGACACCTGAGCACATGAGTTCGCTAAATGCATCCTGGATGAGATGGATAGGTGGTGCCAAGTCCTAAATCTCCTATGGGGTTTCCCTTGACAGCCCACTCTTATGATTTAGGGCACCAACGGTGGCCCTGGTTTGATTCATCACTTGGTAATTCATCTTCCCCAACAAGCTATGGTTCCTGTTTCGTAACGCCCTTCCATTCTTCTCCTTTGAAGAGAGAGAGAAACAGTGATAAAAGCCAGGCTTTGGAACAGAATTCTAGCTTTTTCCTTCCAGAATTAGCCCTCGGTAAGAAGAAGAAACAACCAGACAATGAAATCAACTTAAAGAAAAACTGTACCTATGGACAAAACAATGACCATTTACACATTAAATATGTTACCTATACCATTTCACATGTTGTAGAAGTCCCCGGATCAGCCATAGCAACATATGAACAAGTGAGTGGATTTTTCCATCTGAACATTCTATTTAAAAGTTAAAAACACAAATGGCTTTTGGGTTATGTTTGGTTGGTTGGTTGGTTTTGTTTTTAAGATGGAGTCTCACTCTCTCCCAGGCTGGAGTGCAGTGGTACTATCTTGGCTCACTGCAACCTCCACCTTCCAGGTTTAAGGAATTCTCCTACTTCAGCCTCCCAAGTTGCTGGGACTACAGGCATGTGCCACCACGTCTGGCTAATTTTTTTTTTTTTAATTTTAGTAGAGATGGGGTTTTGCCATGTTGCCCAGTGTGGTCTCGAACTCTTGAGCTCTGGCAATCTGCCTGCCTCAGCCTCCCAACATATGGGTTTTTAAAGAAAAATTATATTCTGACTCTTATGTATATAAATTTGTTAAAATATTATATCTCACAGTTCTGTCCTACAAGTTATTACTGCCATTTTTTTTTTTTTTTTTTTTTGAGACAAGGTGTAGCTCCATCGCCCTGGTTGGAGTGCAGTGTCATGATCTCAGCTCACTCCAGCCTGGTCTCCTGAGCTCAAGTGATCCTCCCACCGCAGCCTCCCCAGTAGCTGGGACTGTAGGTGCGCACCACCACACCTGGCTAATTTTTGTATTTTTTGTAGAGACGGGATTTTGCCATGACGCTCAGGCTGAGCAACAGACTCCTGAGTTCAAGCTCTCCCTCT